AAAAATACCACCTAAGAACATAAGAAGAGAGAACATCTCCTCACCTGTCATAGACATGGCAGTGAGACTACATAGTGGGCTTGTCCTGGGAGGGGGGGTACATGCTCAGAGAAGTTTTATACAGTGCCAGGTATGCACTACTAAACAGGTGTGGTTTACAAGCTTTTTTGTCTGGAACATGCAGGGTTTTAAGAAAAAGATCTCTTTTATAGTATGGATCAGGATTATCAATTTCAGGAGATATATAATTAACTGAAGTCTGGCATACAGCATCTTAAAAATAAAGATATAAAGATGATGACGGTCAATAACTGAAGGTAAATGATGATGATGATGATGATGACTAAATTCATCAAACCGAAAAATCTACTGAATGAAATGAAAAATTAATGGCAAAATAGCCTGGAAAAGCACCACACATCAGAGTGAAAAGAAAGACCCACAAAAGTTGCTAACTTGATATGTCGCTGATGATTCTCAACAGAATACTTGCTGGAAGTCAGGTGGATCCCATTTCTTAATGAAAGAACTAGGATGATCACTTTCAATTAGAGGATTGCATTGATGGCTACCCTTGAAAAAAAAAACCTAATAAAAAAGTCTTGAGCATTGTGATTACCTCCTAGAACAGCCATGACTACTTTCCAAGTCACTGCAGTGCAATGCAGCCACAAAGTGAAGACAAAAAGTTATTTCTGCAATGATACCCTTTTAAAAGAGTGATTTACCTTCCAGATCCGCATGTTGGAGGCGCACGAGTGATGACTGTCTGGTTAGGTGGTGGTGGCGGACAGCAAACTCCTCGGGGATCTGCCGTTATTGTTGGGTGGGTTAGTCTAATGTTACCAGCTGATGTTGGTCCGACTTGGCTTGGGTAGTTGGGAGTATATTGAGAAGAAGGTTGGGCAATTATTTGTGAATGAGGTTGCCTGAAATGCCAAAAAACCCTGTAAGACTACCAAATGTGAAAACCTCTTCTACACAAAATTTTAGCGTTTCCCTTTGGAACATACGCGTGTGGCCTAAAGGTAAGTGTACTACACTCCTTATTGTCAAGGAGCCTTTGAGCCCATACTGTGGGTCACTGTATTGTTCTTGGGTAAGAAAGTTTATTCTCAGTGCCTCTCATCTTTTATTACAAAATTCAGCTTCTCCATTTGCAAGGTGTGTGGCCTAAAGGTTAGCATACTACACTCCTCAATGAGCAGTGCAAGCTTGAGCCCTGGCTGTGGTCATTGTATTCTGTTCTTAAGCAAGACGCTTTATTCACACAGTGTCTCTCTCCTCTCTCTTGTGCATTTTGAGCTGGAGGGTAACCCAGATATGGACAAGCTTTCCACCCGGGCAAGGTAAGGTAAAGTCTGCATGCAAGCCAAGTGGGCCATCAGGCCACCTTATACCCAATTTCCATGGTAGAAAGTGACTAGGAGTATTTTTACTCTCCCCTGGATGGGATGCTAGTCCATCGCAGGGTTTCCCCCAGGATTATAGTTTTTGGCGGTACCCATTTGAAAACCTCAGTGTAGAGAGGCACTGTCAGAGTTAAGTGTTTTGCCCAAGAACATGACACACTGTCCCCAGCTAGGGCTCAAACCCAGACCACTTGATCCAGAGGACAGCGCACTAACCATGAGGCCACCGCGCCTCTCTTCTGCCCAGGACGGGGTAGAAATACTCCTGGCCACCTTGTAGTGCTGCAGAAACCAAAGATAAGCACAGGCCTCATGGGCTATAGTGCAAGGCTTCATGAAAGACTGATTCACCAGGCAACAGAATGACATATCACCTTTTTCCCAATGATCAACGCAAAGATAAAAAATTATTATTTTTTCTTTGATCTTCATCGTAGCAATGTTAATTCTAAAACTGATTGAAACCAGATTGAAGGTGAATGAAATAATTATATCACCACTGAAGAAAGTAATGAAGATCACAAAGTCTACTTACCATATAGGAGGGTCATTGTGATAATGATATCGTCGACTATCCGGACCTTTCACTCCAGGGTACATGGCATATTGATACTGAGGGGCGGTAGTGTAAGGATGATGGTGTGCAGGATGAAAGATACCTGCAGGTCTTGATCCATGGCCACGCTGAAAAACATGTTTCATATCATCTTGAGGTGTTTGCGGAGGACCCCCTCTAGAGTAACCGGGGTGAGACCCGGAGTTTAAATGTTCATTATAACGATCAGGAAACGATAGTAGTTGAGCAATAGGTGCTGAGCTTGCATCAGGTGGTCGTTTAGAATCCTGCATATGAAAATTAAAAAAGACATCTCACCTTACAGTCGTATAACACACTTATTATGTACCCCTGAAGATGGGGTAGGAGAATTTTTGTTTTGCATTACAGAGTTTTGAACTATTGTTAGTGATAATTCAATTTATTAACTTATTTTGAGAAGGCAAGATGAACCAAATCCCGCACTCTGATTGGCCAGCAGAGTGGGCAACGTGGTGCTATCTTGCCTGCTCGCTATCTCACACGCTGTGTCCCATATAATAAATCCTTTATTGACCAAGCTTGTCTGGTCAAGATGCCTGGATACTGGCCTCATTTTTTGTGTGTGTTTATGGACCTTGTCTACATCTTGGTCCATAAAATGCAAAAACAAAAAGGAACAACTTGGCCAATATCCAGTCATCTTGACCGAACAAGATTGGTCAATGAGCTATATTTAATGAAAAGAGAGCTGAAAGGTAGGCACTTATTGGAGACAAGGCACTCATTGGGCATAGGTAGCTATATCCTTTTTGATCTAAATATCTGAAATGAAAGAGACATCTTTTATTTAAAAGAATTGTACTGACACTTAGAGGACAAATTCTTTTGCAAGGCAGGAATGATGTGAGCAGTTCAGAAGGAAGATAAAACGCAGCCGATCTCAATCTGCTCTGATGTGGTGCTGTAATTGAAACACAGTGAATTGGGGTTATTGACCAAGAGTGAGGTCAAGGTGACTGAGTATTGGCCAAGTACTTCTTTTGCATGTTTATGGCATGAGATGGAGTCAAGGTCCATAAACAAGCAAAAAAGAATGAGGCCAATATCCAGCCATCTTGACTGAACAAGCTTGGTCAATACAGAATTTATTATATGGCTTCTGCTTCGGCTGAGCGGGCAAGATAGCGCCTTGCCTGCTTGGGCAGCCAATCACAGTACAGGATCAGGTTCATCTTGGTTCACGGAGCTAGCCATATGTGTGGACTACTTTGACTATGTCAAGCTTTTCCATTTTTTTTTTTTTCGAACAAAAAATAAGCCTCACCACTTGATTTACAAAGAAATATATATCAGGGGGCCAGTGTTTGCACCCTGTTATACACTTCTTTGGAGAACATGGAGAGTTTGGGATTATCAAACTTTACATGAATACTAAATTCAGCATGATAAATTGATCAATGGAGGTAGTCTTAGTTCATGCACAAAACACAAAAGATTGTTGATATTGTGCAACATAACTAAAGTGGCCCATTGGAATAGGTGCACTTTTTCAACAAGACCAATTGGCGGTTTAGCAATGCTCATTAGAATAACGGCACTTATTAAGAAAAAGAAACATTTGAAGTAGAGCACTTGTATATTAGAGAGAGCATGGGTTTTTGGAAGGTGAGCTCATTAAATCAAATCACTTAGGTTTAAAATGGGTCCTTTCGAAGTCATTTCGCACAGGACTAGCATAAATGCACTTATGATGTATTTGTGTTGTTCCAGAAACTATCCTTACCCATTTTCATCAGGGCTGGAAAAAATTTGAACTGTCTTTGGCTGGACAAGCAGATTTCACACATATTTCTTACCCTGGGCAGCCAGATGACTTGCCTGGACCCTTGCCCATTAAACAAGTGAGAATGAAAAGTTACTTGCCCAGCATGAAAATTTACCTGTCCCAGACGACTGGATGGCACTTTTTTTCGAGCTCTGTTTCATGTAGAGGTTTTGGGTTTAAATCCGTCCATCTCTCTGGAAATCCCAGTTTAGCTTCGTATGTTCTTTAAATATTTTGCCTTTTGGTCTCCCAAGGGTTGTCAAAAGTAGCCAGCAGCTTGCAAAAATAGCCAGCTGCTTCATGATGTTATCATGTTAACCAGCTACACTACTTGGCTATTCAGAAACAGCCACCTACTCCAAAACTTGGCAACAACCCTGTCCCTCTACCAACCTCACTAAACCATTTGAATTTATGGATATAATTTACCTCCAACAGAACATTTAGTTGACATTATTTTGTAAGAGGATTAGAAAATGGCATCTTGCTGTTTACACATACAGCCAGCTGAGGCAAACACTTGATAAAGTTTGAGAGACTTGAAAAGTACTTAACTTCGACTTGTGTTTACATAAATGTTTTTAATTCTCCTAGACCTCCTATCTATCAGGCATCGTAAACACGTCTACCATTAAATGATAATTGACCTCAGTTGCTCATATTTCTGGTTACGCTTTAGTCTTCTGTAAGAGGGTATACTATTCCTTCCAAAGATGCTATCAGCAGAGATGATCGCAGTAGGTGGCCATCTGCTGAAAAATTTAGAACCATCGGACAAAAATTCAAGACACTTGGTGAATGGCTGTCTTTGCTCAAATAGCTGTCAAAGCAATGACACCAGTCGCCTTCTAATGAAACAACTGCTTTGTAGGGAAACGTCAATAGCTCTTTAAATACGAGTTAAGGCTTTGTTGCTTTTCAGCTGCAGAAAGGGTAAACATTTATAGCATTTTTTATGAATTTATTCAAAGAGGTAATTACAAACTTACTTAAACTTCTGAGTAAATTACGAATTTTGGCTGGCATCAAAAATCACTCAAGAAAATTACAAATTAAGGTAGGTCGTGTTATGAGAGGCAGGTAAAATTCACGTTTGTATTAAAGAGAAAAACCGTTTCAACAGTATTCCGGATGAAATTAATCAGACCGATTGAACAAAGTCGTCGATTTTATTTTTATAGTCTAAATGCACTTTTTAGTGTCATAAAAACGAGAGAGAACTTCTAATCGTTAAAAAAAATAACTTTGTAAACTTAACTAGTCTGACCAGTGAAGATTCAATATCAATTGCCCGTTAAAATAACTCAAGCTTACAGTTTGGGCGGTTTTGCGTTATTTTGTTCAAACAAGAAGTTCATGTGACAATTTCACTATCGTAAGCTTACTGACGATAAACTAACTCTGCCATCTGCGGTTTCAAATGTAATTTACTGGCGAAAAATGGACTGAAATTAATGGATGTGAAAGCGAATGGCTTCGTTTCAATACACCGAAAATTAAAGAAATCTGCTATTATTAATCGGCGATCGGCCGAGCATTTCTTAAGCACAAAGAAAGCCCATATGCAACAGTTCCCATATAGCTTAAAAGCTACTAAAAGGTGCAAATGGCTAGACTTGCAAATTCTTAACCCTTCTTAATGAGAGGCAAAACAGCTGATGATATCTTTTCGTTTGAAAATAGGTGTTTTGGTGATTTTTCAATTAACCCCTTTAACACTCTCTTCTCTTGCAGGTCCACTGAGTGGACAAGTGTTCAACCTCTCTGCGGAAGTTCGCACAAAATTGTTCATTTCCAAGTGTAATTTTCCCCACTTCTTTTCGAAAGACAAAAGAATTGCTGTTTACAGATAAACTGAAAGGCAGCAATTTTACCATGTTTCAAATTCGCTTTCTGAGATGAAACAAAAACTTTTTCTAATAGCTTAACCGGAAATGCGATTTGAAAGTGCTTTTGGCACCGTGTTTACACGAACGCGCGCGAGTGGAACAGCACTCTCCAAAGTTTTTTTCCCGCGAAATCAAACGTTCTCGAGTTTGAAATCTCCCTTGGTAAAGTCACGTCAACAAACGATTCGTATCATGCTCCAATTTTCCACACCACTGAATCAAGTCAATCACTCTCTAAATGGTTTAAACAACGGGAGAAAACGCACCTCTAAATTGTAAACCTCGACGAGCTGCTCTCTTTGCAAGCAAAACCTGCAGCCACTTTGTCGGCTATGCGTGCGGTACAGCTATGGTAGCTTCGCATAAACTTTCACTGCGATTTCGCTATTTTAGGTGCGTTGAAAATAAACCAGAAAACACCTCAGCTACGATATGTACAATGAATGAAACGATAACCAAACCAAGGGTGAAATTAGAATTAAACCCCACACTGAAACTTCTCTAAACAAAAAAAAATAGCTCTGCTATCCATCACTTTAAGCTGGTCGGCGAACTTTGCTATGAAAACCTTGAGCTCTGACAGTGAAATCGGATCCCAAGATATAATTACAAGTGTTAAAAAGCCTTTACTTACTATCTATCCCTCCGGTTTACCACTAAGGCAACCGGAGAAACAGTGGCCAAGGGAAAAACCATGAAATTCACCAAGGCTTTGGAGAGACTTTCGCGCGATTTTCACCTTACTATTCCCAGCTCGTTCCATGAAACTGTCGATATCAAAACAAGTTTTGTTGCCGCAATTTCTCTAAAACCTAGACAATGTATATATTTTTCAAGGCCACTTGGGGTTACTGGCGGCACCCTTTGATTATTTATACCGCGAAGCGAGAAATTTTAAAAACGGAACAAATAACATACTCCGGCGAGATACACGTTAGCGAAACCAGGACAAATTTTCCATCAAGTGTTCTAAACTCCTAGCTGTTGGCGGGAAGCGACACCAAAAATTAGGTCGGCATATTCCTTTCGGTAAAAAAATAAGAGTTTATTTACTATTTTCCCAAACAATATGATTCTGTATTCGACACTTTGAGCTCGCCGCTTTCTAACAGTCCGATCCCAACTACCAAGTCGCTTGTTGCTCCAAGACCGAAGCGCGAAGCACAACAGAAGTCCACCAACTTGGGCGAAACAATGACTTCTGACCGAACATGGCTTAGCAGGAGAGTTAAAAAATGGAAAGGCTTACTCACCTCCGAATTTTCGGTCTCTTTTTTGATCAGGTCTGACTTGATATCGTTCACGAGGTCCAAATGCGCGCCGTTCTCCGAATCTTCCCCGTCTTCCTGCTTGTATTCCTTCACTTCGTCATCGGCGCCGAGATCTTCCGTAGAGCTATTGGGTAGTTGAGGCATTTTAGCCTCGCTGGTCGTGGAAAAACCCTCAAGTTTCACTGTCTAGAATTTATTTCGCCTCGCTGTGTTGTGCTGGTATATGAGCTTGAAGAGTCGGCGGCAACTCTAAAGGGATAACTTCAAAGGACGCCGACACAATGATTGACAGTGATTAATCAGGCGATCAGTCAAAGAGACCAATGAAAATTGAGAAGGGCGCCGACGTCATCATAATTATATTTCCTACATTCTTGACGCCAGGCCAACCCATGACCGAGTTAGCGGCTTTTCTCTGCAGCGATTCACACCTTCGGCCCTTAAAAAATTACGAGTGTTCCACACGATATAGGCCAAGTGGCGCAGATTTTTGTTGAAAGATAAGGGACGCTTTTTAGCAGACCCCTCGGCCTCGCGATGAACGTAAAACTCTTTGCGCTTTCATTGAGAATGTAATCGCATTTTCTGCTTATGGTCGTGGCTAATGTCCTAACCTTTTCAAATGTTCACGGGCGTTATAAATGAGCCGGTGCTAAATGAATTTTCGCCTCATAAAGGGACAGTACTGGTTTTATTCCTGGCCCAGACAACGAGTCATTTCCAATTGACAAAAGGGAAATGCTTCGCCTCCTTGCCCGACTTAGGAAAAATATCGATTTCGAGCACACATAACCAACACCATAAGACCGGAACTATTTTGTACCATGTTTACTCGATAGCATGTATGTTGCAGAGCTCTAATAAACAGGAAATATAAAGCATCGCTAAGGCGTAAATCGTAGAAAATTCATGCACTCATGCAGCGAGAGGAGTGAAACCTGAGTGAAACCTCTATGAACTGGAGAGAAAAGTACTTGCTATCACATACAACTCATGAAATTAAGAAAAGTTTTCAATGCAAGTACATGTAATTATTTTGCTGCAGAAGAAATAATTTCTTCAGCAATAGATACATAAAGGAAGCCAGAACTATAATTGTTAGCCAGGAAATTTCGTAGAGCTAAATGATAAACCCACACGGAAGAACACAATATCACACTGAAGCTCTGTTCCTTAGCAAATCCGCGATACACAATTAAAGATCAGGTCGCCTTTCTTTACAAAGTACCTTGGAGTTGCACAAAATTTCCTCTAACTTCTTGTGGGCAATATTATTTATTAAACCAACTATAAAACACTAAGTTACGCGCAGCTCCCTGCTTGGGAGAGCTATTAAGAGCAATTATAATTGAATCACATATATGTTTACGTCTGCAGAAGATGTCTCGACTTTTGCCTCTCATAATAAGCCCAAAATATCTGAACCGGCTAAAAGCACGCCGCTTAACTTGTGTTTTAAATTAAGATTTGAACACAAGAATTAAGTTCACTCCACCGTAGATTCCTGTTTGAATAAATCAAACCATTTATAAAGGCTTTTAAAACACCCAGATGTTTTCTACGCCAAGATATTCAAAGATCTATTCGCGGACTGATTCCTTCTCCACGTTCGGTTAACCCTCCCCTCCCCCGTCAAGTGCCCATCTTGTCTTTGAAGGGAGCGTCCTTTTGTCGTTTCAATGATATTAGAAGGGCCTTGAACACATCAAAGAGACCGACATGTCTCGTAAAAATGTAATTATACCAAGTGTCAACTTTATTTTAAGTGGGGTGCAATCGGTCAGCTGAAGCAATGCTAAATAAACACTTACATTACCGTTGACAATACCTCGTACGTGTTTTTCGCACTGAAAAATGGTCTATTAAAATTAAAGACAGCCGCGCTCCGCGCAATTTTACACATCACGCGCGACGCGCGAAAACACGTTATACGTGACCTTGCGTGGGTGTGCGTAAAATTACGTGTCTAAGGGTACCACCCTTTGTCTTCCGTACGTCTGCTTCACTTTCACTTCGCAGCGTGTCGCTACGTGCTGTTTTTCAAGTTATTTGTTTTAAAATATGACCATTTATGAATGGGGCTATTTTCCAAACCTTAATATACTAAAAAGCTTGAATAGCAGAACAGGAAGTAGAATAAACCACATCTTTCGTCACCGACATTCGCGCTTCGCTGCTCAAGAGCCAAAGTCAAAGTGGCCGAACATTTCTTACGCACACAACCAAATGGAAAATGTTTCAACTCTTTGAAAAAAATGTCATATCAACATCTAAAGTTATTTGATTTAAGGAAACTGTTAAACAACGGATATAATCGACAAAACGGTGCAGAAACCCTGTCAAAAGATGTTTGATAGCCCGGTCAGATTTGATCGTCCTTTCTCGTTTAAATTATTCAAAAGAGAAGCTACTTTGCGCTGATAAAACACTTTTCGTTAAGTTGTATTTATCTGTTTACCTTTTAGGTCAAGGGCGCGCAAGCAAATTTTCGCCGAGGACGATCTTTCTCTCGGCTAATTGCGCTCGGAAGCCATATCAGTTTTTCTAAAATAACACATATTATCAATTTCATTTTCTATTATCCCCAAATAAAGCCGACAACCTGTTGTCGGTAAAATTGCGAGCGGTACACCAAAAGACAACCCAAATTTTCCGGTTCTACAGTCCAAGACAAACAAACGAGACAGAAACACAGTCTAGTGAGGTACAAAATAAGTCATCCGGAAAGAAACCCACAGCACTAATCTTTAGTCAAAAACTCGGTTTATCTGCGTAAATGGCATGGATTAGAATATTCTCTACACTATATTACCACTCATGTCTCGCGCACGTGGGTTCTTTTGTCATTACGTAATTACAGAATGTTCTTTTTAATCAGGCGTGAATATAATTCAATATTTTCAGATACCAGACGTACCATATTTTTAATTAATTTCTGGGTGTTTGGATGGATTCAGAGTACAGTATTTCGTAAAAAGAAAAAAACACACACACACAGGTGGTGTCGGTATAAATGCAATTTGTCTTTCCTTATCGACGCTATTCACCGATCTGTTTTCCTTTTTTTTTTCTCTTTTTTCCTTTGGGTTTGGTAAGCGATCATGACCGAACGTCCGTGGGAGGAATATGATTCCTGATTATGTCTTCAATTCAAAGCGTAAATGACTATTTTAATTAACTGTAATCTTAGTCATTGCAAATGCGACTAAAAATTGGTATAGATCTAGAGTTTTCGTGTTTTTCTCCTGGTCAGCCTCAAATATAGATCAGATTAAGATTCTCCGTCATGAATTAAACTGTCCTAACTTTTCCGCTTTTCCTCCTCAGTAATAGTTTGGCTATTCTTTCTGTTTCGTTCACAACAGGGCTATTTTGGGGTAGAGATCAGACTAAACGTTTAAAATTCGAGCCCACAAATATTTTCCTTAATTTTTTTTTTCTGAATTTCGAAAACAAGATGGCGTTGTTATAATTACGGCAAGTTACTCGATCTGAAAATGTACACTGTCCACATTAGCGTCACAGGAGATGCACTGTAATAATGCTAGCTTCAGGTTGAGTTGGAAATGCACAAAAGTTGATCCATATTGTACATGAATGTTTCATTTTGACAATGGGAAAAACAAAGAGTAATGGTCTGAAACGAATTTTCGCTATGGTCAGATTCAACGTTCTTATATGAAAACCTTCTAGATCTTTTGAAAATAAGGACTACCGAACAGAATGAAGTGTCACTATCACAGAGGAAAATTCCTTATTACACGAGATTTTAGCCAACAGCTTCTTTCGTGATTTTGGGAGAGTGATATTTTGCGACACGTGCCTTAATTTTCGCAAATGTGGACAACTTTGAATTTGTTTAATGCAGTTCCTTTACAAATCAAGTCACTTTTTTTTCCCGACATCAAATTATCGCGATTCAAAATCGCAAAAAAATAGTTGTAAAACGTGGATGAATCACTATTAGAAAATTTTAATACACGCGATACCGTACTTTTTTTGCTAAATAAAAAACTGCCAGAACAGCTGGAGATATGTCGACCTCGTGATGGACAAAGATGTGAATAAAGTTCGTGTTTCATTTGATTTTCCTGTGCATTGCGCTAGAAAATGCTTCAGTGAAGACGATCTTTTCCCAGCCCGTTGCAGCTCAACCTTAGACACCGTTTATATCTGATATCTGATTTATTGTACGCTGCCTTATTACAATATCTTCCGTTCTGCCGGAAAAGGCGGGTATAAAATCATTATCTGAGGCTGCTGTTTCGTCGTCTAAATTACGCTCACTGTTTAGTTAGTTTCCAGGAAAACTCACTAAGAAAAAATGATGCAAATAATTAATATATTGGGAGGTTTTCATGTTTTGTTGAATTAGCTATGGGTAGTACATTTTTCTTAGAATTTTTTTTTATTTAAAAGCGCCAAGAACCGATTTTAGAGCTTAGCCTCCGGTGTGCTCTCTGACAAATGAAGTTAATACAATAATTCTTATGTTGCAAGTTTTCTTGAAACGAAACAAGTAATGCGGCAGAACTCCGCCTTTCGACCAGCCCCGTTTATTAAATACGACTTCCTCATTAATTACAGCCACATTGATGTGAAGTATAT